CCCGCATATGCGCACACACACCCACACACGCACACACGCACACACTAATGCAAACATATAAAAACCGAACAAAAGCGTACGAATACTGATAGTTGCTGCATGAAATTTTGCGCTTTGTGCGCCCTGCAGTATGTTGCAAAAAGCTAAAGCATGATAAGTTGATGTTAAGCGCTCACATGCAGGAATACTGTATGTGTTGAGGCAATGTGTGTGCGTGTGTGAGTGTGCGTGCTTGTTCACACAGTTGGCTGCTGGTGCGAAAATTATGCTGGTCCCAGTGCAACACACCAAACTTATGGATGGCTTCAACAAAAGATACAAAAGCGTTGAGTACACAGCAGCACACAAGAGAAAAGCGGAAAAAAGGAAAAAAGAAAAATTTAAACAATTGTTAAGAGCAGCATCAGCGGCAGCGGCAGCCAAAGTAAATGCAGCAAATGTGTTAAACGGCTGTAAAGTAAAGTTTAAAGTTCAAAATACATGACTTGTCATGAGCAAAGCGAGTGGGCAGAGTTTATTTTGCGAAGTTTACATAGTCATTTGCATATATACAAATGCATTACTGCAAAAATAAATACAAAAATCTACTTTACGCTTGTAGTGGATATGACAAGCTTTGGCTGACTTCAAAAAAACTTTGTTTGTCGTTGTAGTAAGAGAAAATGATTTAACTTGAAGAAGAAATTTTCTATAAATTATGTTATTATTATAGATTTTTTCCACTTACGTTTTCTATTTTGAATTGTGATTATTAACTTTAATTTTGCATAGTTTCATAATTTTTGGTATTAGTAAATTCATAGCACTAAGCATTTCTAGCTTTTTATATTTATTAATATCAATAAATACCATCCTTTCATAAAATTTTGAATTGGAACTTTTTATCTGACCTTAAAAAAATTTTTTTTTGTTTGCGATTTCAAACTAATTAAATATAAAACTATTAAATATTCGACTCTTACCATTGCTTGTTAATTTAATTTTCAAATTTCATGATTCTGCTGTTTTAGTTAGCTGGTTGGTTGGGACCTACCCGCAAGCAACCGCTTCTAAGCTATTAAGCAAGCTCATTGTGTTCCCCGGATATCCCAACTGGTCGTTTGCGAGAGTTCGCTCGATTTCATATATTTTTTAAGTGTCTTCCAGCCTTGCATGTTCACCTCTGCAATGCTGGAGCTGCAGTGATCCAGCGCTTTGTAATGCTCTTCGCACGCTCTGCAGACTGTCAATCCTACTTTACCTAGCTTAAAGAGATGATATCTCAGAGGTAGAGGTCCCGGTAGTACACCCATAAGACTGCTAAGCTTACTTTTGACTAATGCAAGTAGCATTTTGGTCTGCCTACCTACGCTGCCTCACAATAAGTAATTCAGTTATGCAAAAGTTTTAAGTCTTGGAGTGTTCCTCTATAGTCCACTGCTTTCAACAGCCTCGCCAGCAGCGCCATCTTGAGTTAACTGGTTCATGTTTTCATTGCCCTCCACATCCGTGTGCCCTTGGACCCATGTGAAATGCAATGTGTTTTGTCGCGATAATCTCTTAATTGATTCTTTGTATGTTTTAACCCATTTTCGAATTTCCTTTCTGTGAGTTAACTGTCTACTAGGAGCCTGATAGATTTTTCCCCTAAACCGGTTGCCTATTTGGCACTTCAGTGATGCCAACAACCTACGCTAGAGGTGTGTTTAAAGCTACCTTGGTTGTTGATCGCCTTACATGTATGCCACAATGTCCTTCCCAATTTGTGAACTAGATCAAACTCCGTAGAGAATTTAAGCGACAAGTGAGTTAATGCCACTGTTAACTTCTAGAGCCCCTGTTGAGGCCGTCTTCATCGGCGTTTAATCCAAGCCATTTTGGCGCCATAACCCTTCTGCGGGTATAACAAACTCGGAGTGTTTCACTAGCCCTGCTTTCGACATGTTTCTCCAGCTAAGCCTTTATCAAGGACTACGTCGATACACTTAAGACAGTAATAATTTTTCACGCTTCACTTAATAGTTGTAGAAATTTTCATCAATGGCAGCTGAGAAGCTTGAAATTTCACTGTCTGCTTCTGCTATGTTTCTCTTTACAACTTTCCATTAAACTTTCTTCCTCTATTATAAAAATCACCGAAAATATGAAAACTCCCTCTCTCTCTTTGAACTCTTCACATTCAAGTCATAATCTCTTTCCCTCATATTTTATGCTCCTTGTCAAAGAAAAATAAAATAAGCGAAAATAAAAAATTTCAAAGGAAATGTGAAAAACTTTCGGAAAAGTCTGCAACAACTTCGCACTACCTTGCGCCGTCACACAAATCGAATTTTAATATAATAAATTATGCAAGTAATCATAATATATAGATATATATATACTCGTATGCTCGATTTTGCAAACCATGCAGACAAATTATCAAATTTGACCTCGAAAATTGATGGCGCATCACAGCGGTTGCCAAAAGAAAAAAAAATATAAAAAAGTGTAGAAAAGTTTCAAACTTTTAAATGTTGGCTTCAACAGCTAGTTACACAAAATGTTGTTGTCAGCAGCATAAAAAATAGTTTTTTCTTGAAACAAAAACAAAAAAAAAATACTTGAAATTGAAAGGAAAAAAGTCAAATAATAAAAATAGATGAAAACAAAAAGCTGAGCTATTTCCTTTAATGAAGGCAAATATGCGGAGTAAATATCTAATTTACGTATGTCTGTATGTAACTAAGTAATTTGGGTAAACGAGTAAACGAATAAGAAAATCAATAATTTATAGGCGAAATAAGACCACCGCTGCTTACATATATTTATTTCAGAGGGCATTTTGGTGTGTTGAGCAAAATTCAGTTGAGAGTAAAATGCGAGAACATTTTTTGATTTTGCTCCACAAAATTTATTGTACGTACATTTGAATACTTCTTCATTTGTGTGCTAACCTTAAAGATATATTTCTTTGGCTGTGTCTGTATTGTGCCCTGCGCTACCTTGGCTGGGCGTCATGAGCTAGCAAAATCCACAAATAGCTCAGCTATACTTCAGTGCACACTCGCACAACACTCATACGTATGAACCTTGGTATGTGTGTATGTGTGCAAATGTTAAACAAGGCAATCCACTTCTATGTAATTTTTTTATTTTTTTTATTTTTGTGCTATGAAATTTTCTGGCTTGTGGTGTTGCCACGCGCTACACCCACGCGCTCTCATGGTTTGGGTCTTGCGGACCACTACTTGCGGTATGTGGTGTGCAAAGCAAGGTTGTCATGGTTATGTATACATAAACAAAATACGCTAACAAAAGTATATTTGTAAGTGAATTTCTTTATGTTCCTTTATATTTTATGTTAGATTTTTTCAACTTTTCTCTACTGCTTTGCTGTGGCGCTGATATTATTGTTATATTTTTAGTTTCAATAAGTGATATTCCTCTATCGACGGCAATGTCATAACGCGCGGATATAGTTTTTTAGTTTAGTGGTGTGAGTAAAATTACAAGGAAATTGCGCATAGCTTAAAAATGTCTTAACATAATTCTTATAAAAAAAAGAGGAAATTATCATAAAATATAAAAATATTTGGCATAGCATACTTTTAGGCGTCTGCTGCTCTCTAACTACTTTTTCTAATTTTCTGTATTTTGCATAGCTTTTACTTGCTAACGCTACACTACGCTTTACTTAAATCTAAGAAACTTAGTTGGCTCTCAGACTGGGTACTACTTGTACTTGTGTTTGTATATTATTTTAAGGCTTAATGCCCTCGCAAGTGCTGTTTGCCATCGTTTGGCACTATTCCAACGCTTCAACGATTCCTTTTACATCATAAGTGTCATCTCGTTATGTTGTCTGTGCTATTTTTGACAAAAATTTGCTTTTTGGCTTAGTTTTGTGGTCACAAGTTTCTCTTTGAATACGGGAATTGAAAATAATATTTAAATGCTTTTGCTTAAAAAGCGTTGTCCTTTCACTTGAAAATTTTATAAAAGTTTAATTTAAACAATCAGAATTCAAATTTAATTCAATATTATTGATAAGATTTTACTAAATTTGTTCTTCAGATTTTAATAAAAAAAAAACTTGTTGAATGTTTTTCCACATATATGAATTATTTTTCCGAAGAATCCGCACAAATTATCATAGATACAACTGTTGATTGCCTAGATCCAAAACCCATACTGTAGTTAATGTGTTATCATGCCACATACAAGTATGTAAGTACCAGATGGAGAAAAGGTAGAATAATCAAAATTTATACCGATCAGAACGACGAATACACTTAGTCACGTTCGTCTTTCTATCTGTCCTTCTACATCTGATTATACGAAAATAAGTCGGTTTTTGGAATATTTCAGCCACGCTTGGTACACAAACGCACTGATACATAAGTGATAATTTCGCGAAAATGGCAGGATCGGACCACTACAGTGCGCATATAACTGAGATTTTACCTCAAAAGTTTGCCAAAAGTGCGTCTGAGGTTTTCAAATTTATTATTATACAAACACATTATCTTTTCCCCCTCATCTTGCCTCTCCAGCTCATTTACGTAGATATGAGAAAGCAAACAAATCATCGAATGAAATAACATTGTTTTTTTTTGCTTATGAAAATAATAAAGGCTTCTTCGGAAGGGCCGACTTTCTCTTAAATAAAACAAAAAATCTTTTCGTCTCTTGATAATGTTAAAAAATAAGCATTTTCATGAAAATAATAATTATTGTTTATAGGGAACAAGAATTACTTCAATTTGTAACGCTCTGAAACGAATTATAATCGTAACCCTAGAAGTATGCAACGAATTGAATTAACATTTACCCGAAGCGACGATTGCGTGCATTTAAAAGCTTTGTGTAAATTATAAACCTGAATTTATTAAAACAGCTAATTTGCTAATATTTTTATTTTTATTTTTATTTTTTATTGAATTTATTTTTTTAAGAAATTTATTAAATCTTTTTCAATTTAATATATTTATGAACAATATATTATATTAGCTTCAATACTAATGCAAAATATTTCTTTTCAGGTAATAATGTCAAAACTACAGACAACTTAAATAACTAATTTATTGCCCTTCCAAAAAGTAAGTCATTTTTCAATTATTGAAATTTTCGCTAATATAAAACACATTTACTGCTGACAAAAATATATACAACTTTTGTACAAAAATATTTTTTTTTTTTTATCTCAAAGAAATAAAATTAAATCTTCACGAAAAGGGAAAAATAATCACCACCAAACGCAAATAAATTCATAAAAAATAATGACCAACGAAACGAATCATTAATGAGAGCGATGGCAATTGGACAGCTCTTAAAAGTTTCCGGTTCACTTTCCGAGTGTCCTTTTGAAGGCAACAAAAAGAACAAAGCATGACACACAGCCCACTCCCTCGGCTCACACGAGAATGAGCTCTTTACGTTTATGGTAATATTGAAAGAAAAGCAGAAAAATCAGCAGCTTAAGGTTTTTTATTTTTATTTTATTTTTTTATTCCAATATACATATATTTATACATATACATACATATATTTACGTATCTACATATATATATGGAATAAATATATATGAAAAAAAAAAAAATACGAGTAATAAAACGTTCATACTGATGGGCGACCGGCAAATGACAAATCCTCTTCAAACGCAGAAAAACTTTTCTCATTAAAACAAAATAAAAACGGAGAAGGAATGAGTGAAACAAAAATGAAAATAAATCGAAAATAAAGTTTGGAGAAAATAGAAAAAGAAAATCGTAAAACTTGTGTTTCCTAAAATGTGCCTCATTTCAGGAAACGGATGTCGATCTCGATATTGATGGCACGAAATTTATTTTATTATTTTTAGATTTTTTTTCTAATTAAAAGAAATTAAATTAATAGCTCGCCAAAATATTATCAAAACAATTTAAATAAGCGGCGAAATAATTATATTACTACATTACAAACTGTAGCCTGCAGCGCTTCGCCGTGGCACCTACCCGTTGAATATATTAAAAATGAAATATTTTTTCTTCATACTTTTATTTACTCAATACCTCTGTATCTCTCCGTATCTAAATGTCTACCAGTCAGCTCCAAAGATTGACTACAAGCTTTGTTAATAGTGATTGACAACGCTGGTCGACCAGGGAACTCTGGTCGCTTGATTATAAAGTGAATATCGAATGGAGTGATATGGACTCGTGAAATGAGGGCGTCTTCACCTTTGAAAGGTCCGGCCAGAAATGTTGCTTCCATTAAGTTCCTGTGTAATTTTTTTGACCGCAAACCGTATGTCATGGCACAATTTCGGCTAATCAGTGTTACAAAGCATTATAATTGGCAAACCGATTTTCAAATTTAATATTCTATATATGCGGTGAGACCCCACTAAGTCTAAATTATTCCTTTTCAACAATTTGGTGTCTAATCTGCCTCCACAACGTTGTGTATTAACTTATATTGGATGAGTGCATAAGTTCGTGCCCGATTTCAAGTGCAAACTGAAATTGAAATATTTTGAAGAAAGCGCTTTTATTACTCAATTATGTATTCGCCATCATGTTCGGCAATCCACTCCCAATGGTGCAATGTCGGGTGAATATGGGGGATGCGCAATGATTTCCCAATTCATTTCCTTCAGTTTGGCCAGGGTCGGTTTTGCAACATGTGGCCTGGCATTGTCATGATGGAAAAGAACTCCTTTGCGATTGGCCAAAATCGGACGTTTTTCATCAATTGCTTTCCTCAATTCGACCAATTGCTGACAATACTTTTTGGCAGTGATCGTTTCTCCAGCTGGCAAGAGCTCAAAATAGATCATGCCTCGGATATCCCACCAAAGGCACAGCAGTACCTTCATCGGATGCAATCCACCTTTCGACATTGGTTCCGCCCCTTCGTGTGCCTGTTTCCGTGTTCTTTTGCGTTGAACATTGTTGTACAGGATCCATTTTTCATCACCAGTCACGAGCCGATCCAAAAAAAGGTTCGCGAACCATTTCTTTACTGTGCGGAGTGCTGGAGCACGGTCCAAATAAACTTCTTCCATGCGTCTTTTCACTAAGCAACTCAAATCAAAATGAAGTTTTTTTGCTTGATTTACAGCTCGGACTGTCACCTTTCCAACGATATATAATATGTATATAATACTTTCACGAGCGCGGGTGATTTTTTAGCTATAATCTTTTGGGCAACACTGGTTCAAATAGCTGACGCATGTTTCGTGTTTTGTGTCACTGCTAAGCATCTTCAGTTTGGTCTATAATTTAACTATGAATCGTCTTACAAACGAATAACTCTTAAAAATTATTGAATTTTATTATCAAAAAGCGCGCCCTTCAAAGTCCATTTTTGGCTTAATGGGTGCGTAAGTAAGCAGAATTGGAGATTTTGGAGTGAAGAGCAGCCAGAAGCACTACAAGAGCTACCAATGCATCCACAAAAAGTCACAGTTTGGTGTGGTTTATGGGCTGGTGGCATCATTGAACTCTACTTCTTCGAAGACGATGCGAATCATAACGTAACTGGGAATGGTGAGTGATGATATCAAAACTTTGTTTTGCCAAAATGCGAAAGCTTGCCCTGGATCACATGTGGTTTCTAGAAGACGGTGCCACATGCCACACAGGACGCGTAACAATGGACTTATTGAGCTGCGAGTTTGGTGAACATTTTATTTCACGTTCGGAACCGGTCAACTGGCCGCCTAGATCGAGCGATTTCACGCCTCTAGACTATTTCTTGTGAAGCTTTGTTAAATCTAATGTCTATACAGACAAGCCCGCTTCTATTGAAGCATTTATTCGTGTGATACCGGCCGAAGTGTTGGAAAGAGTGTGCCAAAATTGGAGTAACCGGATGGACCATTTGAGGCGCAGTCGTTTCCACTTTTCATATTCAAATCTTCATCACATCATTGCTTGTTCTGATATTTGTAAATAAAAAATTTTGTTTTATGGCATTTTCAGCGTCAATTTTAGCTCCTTAAATTTATATTTTTTACAAATATAAAGATTAAAAAAATTATAAAAACTTTAAGGTTTATAATTATTGAAATATATTTGTGTGCAACTCCTTGGTGAACGTCCTTGGACTGCCCTCAGACCTTGTCTAACTTTCCTTTTATGTTTTGACATTTTTCATAACCACTTACAGCGATTTCCCAGTGTTAGCTATGTTTGTATTCATGTATGTATGAGTTTTCTGAATTTTTTACACAATTCGCCTTTATACTCCTGACTGAGTGCTTTTTACGGCTTTTGTTTGTTAAATTATAATTGATGACTTTATATTATGTGAGCAGCCTTCAATTTCCACTTTTATTGTTATTTATGAACCATATTTTCTTACTTTTTGATAGCTGTTATCTGTTATGATTTTGTTTCGTTTTTTACGATTTTCTTCATCATTGTTAAAGTGCCAATGTCTGGCGTTTTGTCTGCGTTGCCATTTATTTATATGATTTAACATTTATTCCTATCAATTCATTATTTTTACTTTTTATGATAAATATTTATTTTTTTATTCTCTTCTTTTCTTTTTTTTTTTTTTGGTTGATAGCTTTATTAATGTGAACATAATAGACCTTTATGATTTTGGGATTTTTTTGGGGTTATGACACATAAAAATAGAAATTCTAGTTACGAGTTTGATGTATAGAGAAAAGGATTTGGTACTGTACCGTTTGGATGAAACTTTTATTCGGTTTCGGTGCCCAATTTTATGAACATATAAACAAAGTTATTTCTTACTTGAAGTCCTTGCCGCACGTTGTTGTTGCCTTCGGTGTTTTTATCAAACTCAAGGCAGCCTGCAGCTATCGTGCACTAATATTATATAATAAATATTCATTGATGTGTTGATCTAGGATTCCTTTTTCGAAAAGGGGTGATTTTTTAACAACTATAGAAAAGTTTTCAAAAAAAAAAAAAACATTAAATTCAGAAAACTGCATGAAATGTTGATTTAACTCGATAGTACGCACATGCGTCACTTGAAGCTCGCTTGTCTTAATAGACACTAGTTTTAGCATAGCCCCACAAAAAATAGTCTAGAGACTTGAAATCGCACGATGTAGGCGGCAAATTGACCGGTCCGGAACGTGAAATAAAATGTTCACCCAACTCGTCGCTCAAAAAGTCCATTGTTACGTGTGCTGTGTGGCATGTGGCACCGTCTTGTTGAAACCACATATCATGCAGATCAAGCTTTCGCATTTTGGGCAAAACAAAGTTTGATATCATCTCACGGTAGCGCTCACCATTCACAGTTACGTTACGATTCTCATTCACTGTGACTTCTTCTGGATCAATTGGTAGCTCCTGCAGTGCTTCTGGCGGCTCTTCACTCCAAGATCGGCAATTCTGCTTATCAACGCATCCATTAAGCCAAAAGTAAGCATCGAAGCCCGCGCGGAAGAAGAGCACGATGAACTTTCTTAAATTACGTAGCACGCATTTTGATAATAAAATTCAACTCTCGTCTCTTTTGTCTTACTTGAGAAGGGTCTCTCTCGATTTTTCTCATAGTGAGATTTGCATTTCTTCATCTGTGCACCGTTGCCGATTTTTGTAACATCAATGAGCTAATGTTATCTCGAACTAAATTTTCAAGTCTGGTTCGCTCAGCTCTCAAACGATTGCGTTATAAATAAATATTAACGGCTCCGTCTTAGGCTTTCCCTATTTCCTGCAGATATTATTCCAGATCGGTTGCATCACTTCTTGGCAGGAAATGTTAAACTGGGCACTGTGCTTCTTCTATCTGATTGAGGCTATGCCTTCTTATTTCTTCCTTTATTATTTTGGCATTGCTCAATTGATATCTCGTTTTCTTTATTTACCAACTTATTTTCATTCCGGTTGTTAAAAGGTCGATGGGAGGGTTTGCGCTAACCACTGCTACAGTCTTGACTGATACTCTGCGCTACCCCGGAGCTATGCTCAAAGCTGTTGTGCGATGCATTTACCTTTTGCCTGTTAATCTTTTTGCGTGTACCTGTCAATAACTCGGATCTGTAGAGTAAAGTAAAGTATTTAGAGCTGTCGGAGGAGGTTGCTATCAGGCCTTTGCAGGTTTCGCTGTGCCTAACGTCACTACTTGATTTTACGTTTATCTTTGGTCTGGTAAGGTGAGATTTCCGGCATTTAGACACGTTTTCCTAATTATGCTAAAATACCTGAAAAGCGTAGGAGCTTTTTAGATTTCTTGGCGTAAGGCAGGCCTTAATTATATATATATATATATATATATATATATTCTATTAGGTCGTTGTAGGCAATGTTATATTGTGTTTGGCAAAGAGTCTATTTTTGCTTCTAACCAACAGATGACAAATCTACTTTGAAATATTTTTTAGCATAAATCCATTAAGCAGATTCCATTTAAATTTCAACCCAATACAATTTTGCTTAACATGAAAT